AAATTTTAATAGGTAATTTGTAATTTGAATTAAACTCTTTAAATTAATTTTTATAAATTTTATTAGGTAATTTGTAATTTGAATTAAACTCTTTAAATAATTTTTAGGTAATTTTTTGTTTACAAAAACTCTTTTTTTAAATTAATAAATAAATACTGAAAGCCAAAAGGCCGAGAAAGTAATACTACACTTGATCTTAACCAAAAGACCAAGAAAGGTTAGCCAAAAGGCCGACCCAAAAAAATTTAGTAATACACTTGATCTTAGCCAAAATGTCTATAGTTTGACAAGAGGCTTCCATGTAATCCTTTTTACTTAAAACCAATGTGGGACAAAAAAAATTAATTTTATTAGATAATTTGTAATTTGAATTAAACTCTTTAAATTAATTTTTATAAATTTTATTAGGTAATTTTTAATTTGAATTAAACTCTTTAAATAATTTTTAAGTAATTTGTTGTTTATAAAAACTTTTTTTATATATTAATATATAAATACTAAAATACTGAAACACTGAAACTCTTTGCACATTTAATAATAGTATATATATATATATATATATATATATAATATAGAGAGGGGTAGAAACTAGAGAGAACCTGCAAGTAATATTGGTGAATGTTACATCCAGGACATCTGACCCACATTCTCTCCTTGGCAAGCTCCATAAACAATTTTTCATTCTTCTTTTCAACCTTATTTGCTCTCACTTTTTGCTGGATGTTTCCCATGGCTTCTAGGGTTTCTTAGCCAGGTAATTAATGGTATTGTAGGTTATTATATACAGCGGCCGAGCCAGTGGATGCCCCTGCGACCCTGTCCTTGCCCGGCCCACTCTATATATAGTATTTTTTTACATATATATATATATATATATATATATATACACACACATTCTGATATTCAAATTCATAGCACCTATGTTACATCCGTTGGCAGGTGGCAATTCCAAATATGGAAATTAAATAGGGTTCGAACAGGAAAGAATGTTTCAAATTCAACATGGCACTGTTGATTGTACCTTGACCTTCCAAACTTTAGTCAACTGTTGTAGTTTTGGTTAAATCTTGAAATCAGGAAGATAAAGGGTGGTTTTTTCAGTTGCAGTGAGATACCGAAAACAGTTCTGTCATAGAGTATGCAGCACACACTGTGCTGCATACTCTTAATATTCTTGTAACGTCCTTATTGGGGTTGGACTTAGGCTTCATTTGTATATATGAATGGAATAGATTTGGTTTGATGGTTGTGAAAGAATGCCTTGGTTTATATCGCAATATTTATACCAATGCCTTGGAGCGCATGTGTTCGAGGATCGGCACCAACCAACCCCTAACATTTACCCTTCAAAAATAAATAAATAAATAAATAAAAAGGAGCTAGCATGGTGCATGGTGAGATGAATGACTGGACTGAGTTAGTAATCTTTCAATGTTGTATAATTACGAAGTATGGTGAAATTGTATAGAAAACTTATGACTATAGAGAATTCAAGATCAGTCATTTCATTTGTGGATGGTTTAGTTTTATCTACAGTTGATTAAAGAGCCAAACAGCCCACACCTTAAGAGAGAGGAAAAGTTCTAATAATCTCTCTTCATGTTATTGCCTTTACTGAGACAATTCTATTTTATATTTGACAATAGGGATTTTTTTTTTTTTTTTCACCTCACAAAAAAAAAAATTACTTCAAAGACTGACTTATACATATGATTTGGTAGTAAAATGAATCCTGATAAAACAAGCTTAAAAGGTATTGTTCAGCTCCAGCATAGCTAACATGCTCATGCAAAGTTTGTGGTACATCGTATAATCAGCATTGACAACCTAAGAAACATTGTTTTACCGTTCATTCCAACTCTGCATCCCCATCTCTTCAGTCAATATGCAAATATTCCTAGCGTTTGTTATGGTTGTACCTAAGTTACACGGTGGGAGCGAGAGCATAGCGCGAAAACGACAAAATCTAAGTCACACAAAGTGAAAAAGAGAGCGAAAACGTGCGCGGAGTGTGAGAACGGCACCCATTGGGACAGATTGTGCGACTTAAATTTCAACCATATTACTTGCATAGGCGAAGCCGTCCATCGTGATGATTCATTCGTCTCCAACTTTAGTATTCTACGTGGTAAAGAGAGCGTAAGAGCAGCAACCATTGAGAAGGAATATTTGTGTGACTTTGGTCTCAACCATACTGCTTTCATAAGCGAAGCCGGCTATGATAATTCATTCATCTCTAACTTTAGTGCCGACTTAGAGCACTCGTTAGCTAGGTTTGCATATTTAAATGCAAAACTAGTTGGAGTCGTTGGGGGAAGTCGTTCCCCTTTACGCTCTAATTTTGTAAATGTTTCTATAGGTGATCGAGCCACCTGTTTGCCTCTAATCATCGATGGATGTGATCTTGGAGACCATTGCAGCTGGTGTGCCATTCCAGGAAACGACAACACTATTGACTGAAGGACACCTTTCCGCGGAAAAGTTCATATTCTGATGGAGGCATACATGATGTCTCCACTATTGTGCGTGTTTGGTTGTGGACATGCAAGTGGTTGCTGGTTGTTGAAGTCGTTCCTGCCTGATTTTGTGGCAATGGACACGAGCACGAACTCAGGACACCTTGCCTGCTAATAATGTCGCCAAGTTAATGGTGGTAGTAAAATGGGGGGTCTGAATTGAAGAGAGAATTCCTGTTTAGAATTAACGGAGGAAGTGTTTGTGTTTTTGAAGTGATGAATGTGTGGGTGGGTTCCTTTTATAGAGAGAACAAATGGATTGCACGAAAGGGTGAAGAAAGATTAGACGAGTGGTTCTCAAAGTGTGATCCAGAGATGGATTATTTTGTGAGTGAAGGTTTTTTAAGTGTGATTAGTTAGGTGAGTGAAGTGGAAAGTGTGACTGTGAGACTTTGAGAGAGAGAGAGAGAGAGTATTGCGTGAGAGTATGAAGAGGAAGAGAAAACAAAGAAAATACAAAGGTTTGCTTCCATGCAAACTTCAAGGATGAATGAATTTGAGCCGAACATGAAGCTTCCGCTCCTCCTATGAACAATCATTATATGAAATTTAATAGCCCCATTCAAAATTCATCTATATACTTTTCTTTTAATACAAAGTCGCTATCACTATTTCTATTTTTAAATTTAATATTTATTAATATCACTAATTTCAACAATAAAAAGTAAGTACAACAAAAAAATAAAAATAATAATAATAGTTCTCTAAAAATCACATCTCACCACTAAACGAAATTTATGTTTTCTTCGAATAAAAAAAAAAAAAATTGTTAAAAAATTGCATCAATCACTTAATACTAAAGTCAACATTGCCAAGGGGTAAGGAAAAAATAGATTAAATTGCATCAATCACTTAATGTTTGACATTCAGCCAAATTGTTGTTGTTCAAGACTGTCTCCTCTCATACTCATAGTAGATATCATCATTATGTCAACATTCACTCACATTAAATAGTCAGACTAATTGGACTACATATTATTTTTCATATTTAAATCATCATTTAAAAAACCATTCCAAATTGGAACAAAAAGAAAATGATATTCCCTTATTGACTAAATACTATCTAATAATTGATTTTTAAGTTTTTGTACTCTTACAATCATAAATAATTTTTTAAAGAAAAAGAAAAAACATATTAGTCTTTTATAACCCTCATGTTACACTATCATCCGCACTAAATATAAATGTCATTGTCTATTAAAAGATAAAAACTTTATAGTTAAACTTGGATATTTCTTTTATATAATAATCTTTTGGTTTGACAAAAATAGAATATATATATATAGAGAGAGGTTTTGAATTACCTTTTGATTCTCTGCACATAATAATCTTTCCTGTATCATATTGTTTTGAGCTTAAAATTTTGGGTTGGCCCAATCCATCTAGAGAAAAGTACTATGGGTTGTAAATTTTTTTCTATATGCGCTTCGACTAGATCTAGTTTGGTCTAGAAAAAGTTTAATGGAGGCCTTACCCATTAGGTTGGGATTGGGTCTGGTAAGTTTTGTTCTAAATGGGCTTGGACTAGATCCAAATTGATCAGGAACCAGTTCAGGGGTTGCAATTGGGTCTGGTAAGTTTTGTTCTATATGGACTTGGAATATATCTAAATTGGTCTGGAAACAGTTCAATGGGTTGGAATTGGGTCGGGTAGTTTTGTTATATATGGGTTTGGACTAGATCTATATTGGTCTGTGAACAGTTCAACGGGTTGGGATTGGGTATGGTAAGTTTTGTTCTATTTGGGCTTGGACTAGATCTATATTGGTCTGGAAATAGTTCAATGGGTTGGGATTGGGTCTGGTAAGTTTTGTACTATATGGGCTTTGACTATATCTATATGGGCTTGGACTAGGTCTGTATTTGAATTAAAAAAATTAAAAAAACAAAATTAATATGGAAGAGGAGACAATTTGTGACAAAAGGGTAAAAGAAATTTTTAACTTACAATTTTTAAACAGCATGCATTTAAGGAATTAAAATAGATATTTTATTTTATTTTTATTTTTTTTTACCATTTTTGAGTCAATGTTTTGTATGTGTAATTTTTAATTTCTTTTTCACATTCATGGAAAATGTCAACTTTAATATCAAGTCATAAATGCAATTTTCTGACATTAATTATTATTTTTTCAAAGAAAACAAAAATCTGAGACATGATTTCAAAATTTTTACTTTTATCTTTTTGTGGAAGAATTTTCTTCCTTCGCGGAAAACAAAAAATCACTTCTCTCTCTATCTCTCTCTCTCTCTCTCTCTCTCTCACACACACACACACACACACACAAATATATATAAACCTTCCATGTAGCTTTCTCATGCAAACAATTGCGTCCCTTTGGAGATCACGGAGGAGATCCATGGGATGATATATGGAATGTCCTTTCAATCTGGGGCTACTATTGTTCAGATTCTGCAATTCACTCAGTTCAATCTCTCACATTTGAAAGCAATATAACATGTATATGGACCATTTGGAACACAGAAGGGAAAATATTTCAAATTTCCATTCATAAATGACAAAATTCTAGGATTCCGTGGAAGCCTCTGGTCGATCACTCACATTTCATAGCAGTAGTAAAAAATCATATGGACCTTTCGGCACTGAAATAGGGAATTATTTCATGTTTGATCCCTCACCAGCTGCCAACAATATTATTGGACTCTATGGAAGCTCCGGTTATCGGCTTGATTCAATCGGTGCATACTACCGGACTGGTGAGATGATGTGCCATTCGGTGGCCAAGGCGGAGATCAATGTGATGATGGCATGTACAGTGGGGTGGCAATTGGGCGGGCTTTAAGGAATGAAGTGTCGCATTCAAACTTGGGCCAGAGCACACATCATAGTAAACTATCCAGTTCCACAATAGGTCATGCCGGCAGATTGAAGAAGGCCAAATAACAAGGGCTGTTGCTCATTGCTCAACAAAGAAAACCACTCCCTTATACAATCAAGGGGAAGAGATTTACTGACAATTGCTGGAAACTCGATATTACTCTTCACGAGGTCTTCAAAGTTGACAGGAAGAAACTCGAGTAAAGCAGTTATGGCAGCAATTCGGCTGGAAAAACCCAATTTTCTTGTAGGGTTCTGACATAAAAAAGAAGACAACCAAGATCTCAGGTTTCCAACTCCAATGTCATCATATCCATTAGCATCAGCTCCAAGCCTGCAAGGAAAATACATAATTATGTTTACATCCACAAGATATAGAGCACATGATAGCGAGTGAGAGGAATATGTAAAAATGACAAGGCTAAACAGATAGAACATCAAAAAATTGAAAGCTTAGTCTAGACCATTTAAGTGCAGCTAAACTCGATCAATCTTACTATATTTTCCTCCATCTAGTACCACGTAGATAATATACATTCTTTTCCAATGGACTACCTCTATCAGAGTTGAGCCCCCCACCTTGTTCATTGAAAGTGATGGGAATCAACTAAGTAACAAGGACCACAGCATCTCTAAGACAATGGTTTCATCAAATATAAGTCAACATGTCCTTCCTGGCTGCCTCAGATGCACCTGTGTGGTAATTCTTCAACCTAACAACAATATGGGCCAGTGGGATCATCTTCCAATATAACTCCCTATTTATTTATTGGTCTTTATATTAAACACGGACATAGATCTCAACTGAATCTTGCCCACGTAACAATCCAATTCACAATAATCGTTCCAACTACACTCAATTATGAACAACTTTTTCTTAAATTCCCAAAATTCTATGCTGGAAAACAAGGCTGCTAGCCCTCTACAGTAGTCCACAACTTTGATCTAAAATTTACCCATACCATCCAATACTCCAAAATCACAGCCTAAGTCCATTCATCATAAGCATTTTCTTCCATCTTTATTTAATTTTTTTTTTTTTTTTTGGTTATTTTTTTAGATGAGTATGTTAAGACAATTTTTTATGAAGCATGAAGACCTAAAACTTCTGCATAATTCAATTTGCTTTCTTTTTTCTGTTTTTATTAAAAAAAATTTGTTTTCCTTTTTCCCTTTTATTTATTTATTTTTTGGCATCTCATTTTGAAATATGAACATTGGGTATAAAGCCATGAATCTCAACCAAATAATTCCAGCATTGCCTGATAAGTGATAAACATGAGGATGTGTACATAATAAGTCTTAAAGCAGCCAGTTTGTACAAAATTGTTACGACAAACGCAGCGAACCCAAGCAACAATCACGAAACACGACAGAAAAGTAAACACACCACACACTAAGAACACAACGATTTATACGTGGTTCGGCAAAACCTACGTCCACGGTGGAGATCCGGCGAAAGTCTTCACTGTGTAATATTGGAGATTACAAGTTTCAGCCCCACTCTCTTTCTACACGATTTTCAATGTCTCTTGCTCTACCCACTCCAAACCCTAAATGCCCTCATATATCGGGCTACAAGAGATTACTAATTAAGTCCACGACCCACAAGCAAAAACGGGTAAAAAATTTCCTCAGGGCGAACCCCCCGAACCACCAAAGCTTTGAAGGGCTTGGGCCCACACAAAGCTCATCCAACAGGTCAAAAGCGGGCTGAAATGCGACCTAGCACCACACAACATCAAAGAAATTAAGCCAAATGTCAGGTCTCTCTATAGTTTTCACCTCCTAAAAGCCCACCTAGGTAGGACACATCCACAGTACTAGACTTCTAATATATTAAAAATTTGATAAGCTTGTTAAAATCTTCCTTGTATCACTTAGCCATGTAGCGACTTTGATCTTCACAAAGTTCCTAAGTATTGAGAACAACACCCTGCCCAAACTGTTGCAGTCACAAGGAAGATGCTTAGATACCAAGTAGAACCACCACCCGAAAGGGGCGTTATAGGAAAAGTATAAAAAAAATTGAAACAAGAAAGATATTTTGTTACTTGGGTGAGTAATCCCAAACCACCATGAGGGTAATAAGTCTACTAATAATTGGATTTTTTTTTGACAAGGAGGATTGGATTTAATCCTCCTTTGTCAAAAGCAAGTAATTACGATTCTTTATATCAACACCTCACAACTTTCCTAATACATAAGCCCCACTATCGCTCAGCTCAACAAGCATTAATCCTAACTATTTAGGTCAGTTGCATATCTCCAATTGACTTTTGTAAAGACATAATCTCAATTAAATCCAAAACAATCATGTCATTTCTCACAACCTTATCAATGATCTTTTTGGCCTTCCGCATGTCCTTTTTTGGCACCTTCTGCTTGGACCAAATCACTCTTCTACGTTGTTGCATAAGTTGGACTATACTGTACATGCCAAAATGAAGTTCCCATACCCACCAGATTCACCAATTAAACCTATGTCACCAGCTAACAACATACACAACAACAACATGCCTACTAAGCCCATCAATAAGTAATCCAAAAGCGTAACTACTCAACTCAGATTCTTGATGCAAGCCTACTATTATTAGAAATTTCACTGATTCCTCCCACAATTCTCAACTAGTTACATCTCCACAACAGGTGTTCTTGATTTAAATCAACTATATCTACTTGATACACACATTCTTACATCACTTAGGACCACATCATGTGCTTTTCATAAGTTAACAAATGCACTGAGCAGGTCCTTTTTCAGTGTGCTCTATATTTTTTTATCAATCACCTTAGTAAATGAATCCCGCATATGATCAATCACATTTAGTGGGACAAAATCCTAAATAAGCCATAATAACAAAGTACATAGAACCATTACCAACCCATCACCAAATGAGTGCCTCTTCACAGTCTCCCTTTTTCATAATTAATGCACAAATAATTTTACTAAATTATGCTTAGGTTCTAAAAACTTCACCACATCAATAATATTAACTTGGAATTGGAAAGAGACAATGCACGAAATGCATATCCCCTTAAAAAGTTGGAATTCCCAAAAAAATAATAATAATAATAATAATTTGTGAAGGAGAGAACAAATTATTTCAGGAACATATATCAGCCCCAAACTAGAATGCCAAGTTGACCATGTTCCTTAAGCAGATAACAATAATATGTTCCAAACAATATCATTCATTGCTTATATTGCAATAAAGCAATAACATAATTAATTTGTGAAAGAGATGTTAAATTATTTCAGGACAAACAATATCATTCATTTATTAAATTTCAATAAAGCAATAACAAATTTTTTACCTTCCCAGATGACCAAGAAGAATTAAAAAAGCAGCTAAATAATTTTCTGGGATGCATGATTCCAACTTTTTTAACAGCGGAGAAACGATGTTGTTGCATGTCCAATCCCAGCTCTGCGTGGCAAGAAATAGAAAAAAAGTAGGTAATAGGTCAGAATAATTCTCCTAGAATACGTTGTACAAAAACGCGAAATGAAAATAAGAACCAAATTAAAGAGTTGTAGTTGCTATTGAAAATAATACTTGTGAAAAGGCCAAATTGTAATATGAGGATTGATCCAGTATTAATTCTTCACCTAATGACCCATTATATCAGATATTTTGCCACACGTTAAATATATTTTTCCTTGAAGTGAAAATAAATCATTTTAATTAACTTTACGAGTTACAGCTACCAAGCATTTCATTTTTCACCTAGCTTTCCCTGTGAGACTCAAAACCCAACTGAAAGTTTTAAAACCAGGAACACCAAAAAAATTATAAAATTCCCAGGAAAATTAGAATTTAAAAATAAAATCCAATTTCGGGGAAATTTCATTGGAAAATAACACCCTGATTACAGGGCCGCCAAATCAAGTCAGAAAAGGCGTCATCCAATGCGCATTTACCCAACATAATAAATGCTAATCAGAATGAAACATTACAAAGCATAATGTACATCCAGAAAAGTTTAAACTCATACCATCTTGCATGCTACCAGCTCAACTAGGGACAGGATATCACTCAAGTGGCACAAAGTCTCACCAAAGACAGAATTTGATTGAGTAGTGAGCATCCCAGATTTATTTAGACAACAGCATAAGTTGCAGTTCATATAAAGGTCAGAACGGACTTCTTTATGACCTGAATTTTGTCCAGCTTTCTCCTCGATGGAAATGGCTTCAGATTTTGAAAAATTGACTGATTTCATCGGATCTTGATGCATGGAACCGGAAAAGGTGAAGTTCTGAAATTTTTCCAAGAGCAAAGAAACAACAGTATCCATGGAAACTGCACCCTCAGAAAAAGGGCATTTGGTACAAGAAGGAAATCCAGCCCGGACCTCCGTAAGAGATGGAAGACCACAAGCAGAATCACTCGATAAAGTTGCTCTCTCAAAAAGCATAACTAAAGATTTCAACACAGTCATTAATAAACTGTAGTTGTCAAGACTAAAATACTTAGATCCACAGATATGAGCAAAAACATGAAGAACAGTCAGCATCAACGAAGAATCAAACTTCTGCATCCTCAAAATGTTGTATGAAGCCTCACATATAAAACCTATGTGGTCAACTGCTGCACATATTGATGCCAATACAATGCCCCCAGCAACCAACTGGTGAGTCGAAGCCGTTTCAGAGGACAAGACTATATCCGTACCATTCAGAAGGATGCTGACTTTTGAATTACAAACAACTGATAAATCAGAATCCACATCACTATACACAAGAACTTTTTGATCTATAAGAAAATCCTCAATGAGTGTAAGCAGATCGTCCAAGTGGCATAATTCTGCAAACATGCTTCTTTTCTCCACATCAGACATCACTGCACATCGAGAGCATTATAAATTCAAGTGAAAATAATGAAAGCTTAATTATCCGGATAAAATATTACAAAAATTAACAACCATCCAATAACCGAACAAACCTGCTCTAATTTCTTCAGCAAAAGAATCTACGAAGAGGACAGAACCACTCTTTAGAAAGTTTCCAAGGTTCCCCAAAGCAATCCCAGAGAAATTGTTCAAAAGCAGTGAAAAGAAAACACAAACCTTCTCCCTGGAAACGATTAACAGAAAACAAAACCAATAAAGAAACAAAATCAATTAGCACCTACTACCATCATCCTCTAGAGCACAATATTTATATGGTAATTGTTTCACCAACTAACACAACCACAGTAGAAAATCAATATCAAGTAACAGTCACAATAGCACTGAAGTCTACAAAATAGATAATAACTCCACAAGATAACTGGTTTACCTACTAGAATTTGAATGAATCACCTACCTGGGTAAAAGATCTTTAATCTCAAGAAGAGCAGACAAAATCTTTTGGACCACCTGAGCTGACTGTGATACCATAGAGCACTGAACCATACACGTTCTGGTGGCACAAAATATCCTAGAAATGCTGCAACTGTCCTTGATATCTGAAACCACAACATAAAATTTGGGAAGATTATCACGTGCAAATCTAAGTTCACTTTCATGTGAAATCTTTGGCTCCTTATTTTCAGACATAGATGCATTTGACATCCCCAACTCAGCACCTGAGTCCCAAATCTGGCAAACAGAAGCATCGCCCACATACAGAATGTTATGTTTACAATTATCACAATTCTCTGAGCTCTCAAAAGAATTATCGAAACCATCACTCCTATGCAATAATGGCTTAGTCCCACAGGTACCATTAGATTTGAACTTATTGGAATCAATCTCCACATTAATGACATCAAAGCCGCAAGAAGGCACCAGATTGTCCTTTTCACCAGAAAATCCCCCATACGAACTGCCATCTACTGACCACATAGAGTTGTCAACTACAAATGCCTCATTACTTTTAAATTCAATTTCGGGAAGAGTAGGTGATAAAGGAATTTCAGTTGCTACACGGTAACATTCTTCGTCAACAGCACTATCCAAGTCGAGCAATTTCATATAGTCACCATTAGCAACATTCTCAAAATTTCCCCATATTTCCTGATTGTTATCAGCATTATCAAGTAAACCATCCATGCATGTCTGAGCACCTCCTGTTAACTTATTGGAGCATGGGGAAGCTTCGGCACAAATATTACCATCTTCAGTGCCATCCTTTTGCCCATCTGATTCATGCAAATAATGCATATTTAATTCCTTGCCAGAAGATGCCTTTCTCTTCTTGTAAGAAATGTCCTTAGCATATAAATTGCCTTGTGGGTTAGCTACCAAGAACCTTTCCTCTTCCAAGGCTCTATCCATTTGACTATTTAACATACATTTCAACACAGGACATTTCTCTTCTTCTTTCTGCAGATGCAACTTCTTAGGCTCAGAATACACATGTTCAACAGATTCAACTGCATCAAGGATTATCATTCTCTTCTTACCTTGGCCAACATTCCTCCCAGCAGAATCTATGTTACTGGGGCTTCCAACACTATTTTCTACCACCATTGCAAGATTTCCATTGTACTTCAGCTCGATAACGTCACCAGATATATTGGAAATAGATGGCTGTAAACTTGATTTCTCTTCAGAATAATTAGCTGATGTATTGAGAGAAAAACTCCATCTTTCCTGTGAGCCCATCAACGGCCTATCAGAAAAAGATGCCATGCTGGAATTTATGGCAGAACTCTGTAAGAATTTTTTGTTAGAACCTCTAAGCAAAGGCTCCAATTTAGAATCAGTACCTGAGATGGATTGACTACAGGTCCCTCCAGAAATAGGGAGCAATGGTGCAGCATATTCTACGGTTTCCTTGACAGAGGCATCTACTTTTCTGCAACTAGACTTTACAATCTCATTTTCAAAGCAATGTTTCATCTGACATGGTTCTACAGCAAAAGATTTCTTCAAATTTAAGCTTTGCGTATTAGAGAGGCTGCCAGTCTGCAAATAACACAAAATTTTCAGCAAACAAATCATTAAAGGAGATTGTCTATGCTTTGCATTACACATAAGAAATGATCTAACCAACAAGCCAGTGACCTAGCAGTACCAGACCCCTACTTACCAAAGGTAGGTTAGGGGTTCAAGCCTCAGTGGAGGCATGTGTGTGTGAGTACTAACTAAGAAAAAAAAAAAAAAAAATGAAACAAAGAAATGATCTATGATGCAATCTAGTAGTGTTAGCTCTAACAGGCTTTTATCACCCACCGGGTTATTAAACAAAACAGCCATCAGGAGAATACCTAAGTTAAAGTGTACTTACAGCAAAACTTGCTTCTGAGTAAAAATCAACCAGTATAGATTGTAATAACAAACATCAGAAACCTGTATGCTCTTTTTTCATAGAAAAATGCCATCACCAAAACACCAAACTAATCAATAATATTCCAATTCACAAAAAATACATAAGAGCTTTAAAAAAATAATAAGAAATAGGGAGACTAACCTTTGCCAGATCATCTATACCTTCATCACTGTGCAAGCAGCTCTTATCTAGTATCTCCAGACGAAGTGAAAATTGAACTAATTCCTGCTTTAAGCAGCTCAGTTCTTGTCGTAGAATATTATTACAACCCATTTCCAGTTTCGCCACTTGTTTGCCATACTTTACTAGCATCTTTTCAAACCTCAATTGCTTTTTCAGCAGCTTCCTTTTAGCAGTTTCAGCGTTCACAATTCTATCAGGTGGTTCGACAGGAGCCTCAGCCAATGTTTTAGAAGACTGAAATTCAAATATCTCCTTCTGCAGTTCCTTTATCCTTCTTTCATTATCTTCTAACTGTAGAGCTAACTGATCAGCACGATGCTTTTCTTCCATGGCCTTCTTTCTATACTCCTCTGCAACCTTTCTCTGCTTTTCTGCGTTGCTCATCTCTGAACCCTCATGTTTTTTCTCTCTAGTTGCAATCTGCTTTTCTTTCCCAAGCATTTTGCTAGCCTTTTCAGTATCAACACTCGTCTGTTTATCAGGTAAGCAAGCAGCAGCTTCAACCAATTTTCTTGAGGATACAAGTTCATAAATCTCCTTCTGTAGTTTCTCAATCTCTCGTTTATGCTCTTCCAACTGCTGAGACAACTTATCAGCATGACATTTTTCATCCATTTCCATCTTCCTATTCATTTCTGCAAGCTTCCTTTGCTCTTCTGCCTTGGCCATCTCCAAATCTGCACATTTTTTCTCTTTCATTGTCTTTTGTCTTTCTACCTCAAGCTTCTTCCTTGCCTCTTCAGACTTACGTGTCTCCAGAACCAATTTTGATCTCATTTCATCGGCTTCACCATTTAATGTCTCCGACCGAAGTCTGTTTTCCTCAGCCTTTTCTCTTTCGATATTGGCAAATCTCTTTTCCTCATCAGCCCTACTTTTCTCTTCCTTTACACTTTTCTGTGCTTCATTGGCTTTCTTCTTCGCTGCCTCAGCTTTCTTCCTCTCAGAATCTGCCCTCGTTCTCTCTTTCGCAAGAACCTCCTTGAGTTGATTTATTTCTGTTTCCCCTTCTGAAACACGCGTTTGAAGAAGCATTATTTCCCTTTCCATATCTTGACCTTGTGGGCCGGCTTTTTGCTGCAATAAAAGAATCTCAGACTTCAGAGCAGAAATCCCATTCTCCACAGAAACTCGAATAGCCGATTCTTTTGCTTTCTCATCTGTTAAAATTTCTGCAAGAAGTCTTTCTTCTTCTGTCACTGGTAAATGAAATATAATTAAAAAAAACAATGATGTTATTCACTTATTCATCTATTTGTATAAATATATTTCTGTGTGTGTGTTTATATATGAAAAATAAATAAAAAACAAACACGCAACTTGAAATAAAAAGCCAAACATGTCTAGATTGAATCATTGAAGTGAAATTCAACCAAAAAATAAATGGTCTCAACGAGGTACTCCAGCAGAAGCCTTTGCTAGGGATGCACACCCATCTGAATGCATGTGCATTCTTATCAAATTCATATCAAGCTATATATTATGTATGATATATATATATATATATATATATATATATATATATATATATATATATATATATATATATATATATAAGAAGATCTTCCAGGGTTGCCATGGAACCATCAGGAAGCTATAAATAGAGGTTCTCCCTTTTGGGGAAGAATTATATCAAGTATCAACTCAATAGTGGTTTGCAAGCAAGTGATCATCCCAAGTACAGTGGAGATTTCACCCTCTGAATGGAGAATCATAATTCAACGAGGCACTAACACAGTCTCACAAAGAGAAACCTAGAATGATGAATCTGAGGTGGACCATCTGACTGAAATGGCTACTATTCGAACTTTGTTTGACCAGCCCTTCTACTTAAATGCATTATTCTATTTCCGTATTTTTTTTCCCTTAAGAAAAATAATTTGCATTTTGCTTCTAGGGGTCCTCTACATGTACTTGCCTACAATTTTCGCATTATTTTTTCTCTTCCATACCAACTTCTTATTTCCCATCAAATACATGTTAGCTAGTTAAACTCTAAAACAGAAAACTAAAAATATTAAAAAATTTTAAAAAATCTATAAAAATGACAAGATTAAGGTAGAGTAGGAACTAGGAACAGTGGTTAAATTCAAGTAAGGAGCTTTAATAGAGTAGGCTTAGGGGTTTAATTTTAACTCTTGCTTACAAAAATGGCTACATTTTACAACAAATATAATTACATTCATTCTTACCTTTCTTCAGATTGCGATTCTCATCTTCAGATTTTTCAAGTTGTTGCTCATAAATGCTCACAGCTTGCCTAAGAGCTTTACGTTGCTCATTCAATCTTGAGCATTTCTCTTTCCACTGCACACATAATATTTATTTATAATTAAGAACAACCGTGAATATATAAATAATATTGTGTGACAAAAAAAAAAAACGAAGAACATACCACCGCACAGCAGAAATCCACGGATTCGTCTTTCAGCAGTACATTTGCGGCCATCGCTGCAAGAATACGAAGTAAAAGGAACAGTTAGGGTACGGGAGACGAAACAATAACAAGTAAATAGAATCAAACCACAAATTACTCCTTACAGAAAAATTAATCACTTCAAAAAATGTACATTGTCATCTCTCTGTTTTCCTGCTCCTAAACCCTAGTTTTTTTTTTCTTCTTTTTTTTTTTCTTTTCTGTAAACCCTGTTTATGAACAAATTCAATCTTCCAAAGCATAGAAGCGTTTTGGATTCCAACGCTGTAAGAAATCGGAGACATTTTAGTTCGGCCCAAAGTGGCCCAAACTAATTTCCCTTGGGCCCATTTTCTTTAATTTTATTTAAAATTTTATTCTAACCAATTTTCAATTGCGTCAAGTGCATAAAACATACTTTGCGTAGCACTTTCACGTTTGCTAAAAATACTTCTATTATTTTAAAATGGTTCGAAAACACTCTTTAATAGGAAAGGTGACATAAAATAATATTATAATACATGTTTTTCATTCCAAGAGGTTGTGTATACTAATAATCTCATAGCATATGGTGTCATGTACACTGTAACCCACTTTTAAAGAATTTCACTTGCCTTTTTTGAAAAAAAATTCCCTCCATATATTTTCGCTAACAGTGTATGATTCTCGCTTTATATATATATATTGTTGTCACAATTGTCAAAATAAAGTACAATATGTCATATGAAATAAAAACTTCTGTTCCTTTTATAATTGTAAAAAAGAAAAAATATATATTCCTAATTAAATTTTAATATAGTTATCAGTTTTCATTAAATATATAATTAAAAAAATTAACTTAAAGATAATTATTCATTATATTTGAACAATATATATTTCATTTTTTAAACTTTAGAATTTGCAATAAATTTTCACACACACACACACACACACACACACATATATATATATATATATATATATATATATATATATATATATATATATATATATAATTCTTTACATAACAACAAATGAGTATTCAATTTTTATTTATTAAAAAAAAAAAATCCAACAAATAGATGTTCAATTGCCTACTATTATCAGACTATTCAAATCGCGATAAAACTACCATTAAGATTAAAAGATTCAAAATAATAATAGTTTATAAAGTGCAGAAAACACTCATATAATATATTTACAGTGCGTGTCACAACCCCTCGTGTATTACATCACCATTTTTGTCATTTCATAAAATGATATATTTTTAAATAATATGTAAAATGTGTATATAATGGCGATTTAATCAAAATATAAATTAAATGTGTTAAGAAGAAACTATTTGCACCACATTGTTTATTGGTGTTTTTTGCACATAAAGGATGTGATACGCACTATAAACATACTATAGAGGTGTTTTATGCACTTAACCCTTTTTCAAATTAACCAATGTCCAAAAACATAGAGATAAAGAGGAAAGAATACATAGAGAACAAGAATTGAACATCACTAGAGAACTAAAACATAACATATTAGAATTGATCAATTTCAAATCATAATACCTAAACAGAGAAGTGTGAACCACAAATTCCAAAAGAAGAAAATCAATCGATTGATAGATAAAAATTCAATAGAAAATGCACTAACACAAGATCAATTATGTGAGATGAGATATCAAATTCCCAAAAATTCTTTTTCTCTTCCCCCTCTCTCGCCTCTTCCCCCTTTCTGCTAGGGTTTTGCGCGCCGCCTTTCCTATTTCCCATCAGCAAGTGTGGTTTCGACGGCGAGTCTCTCTCATCAACATCAAGCTTCAGCGCTCTAGCGATTCCATGTTTTCAAAGAGCCAAGGAGGTTTCGTGAGAGATGTTGAACCGAGTTTTAGCATGTTCCTCGCTATGTTGAGGTCCTCTGTTAATCAGAGTTTGGGGTTGTCCCCACTACGATGTGGTTTCTCAGTGATGGCTTCCCTCTCTTCTCATGTCCATCGCTTGTGTACGTTGTCTAGACGGCAGAACAAGTGGAGGCTTGTCAATTTGGGGTTTTTGTGCCTTGGAAGAATCGATACCCGATTTATACCGATATTTCCTTTTGATCCAGGTATTGATCTTTTTTCTTTTGTTTACTGTTTAATTTTTTTTTTTTTTTTCCTAGTTGGGAAACTCACACACACTGCCTTCACTGAGGTTCGAACCCCTGACCTCTCTTTGGAAAGTAGGAGTTTTGTACCGTTAGGCCACAGGCCTGTTGGTATTGTTTACTGTTTAATTCTCATGTTTGTTTTGTGTTTTTTGTTGGCGAGGTCAGATTTGCTTTTACTGTATTGGTGTCGGCGGCGTTTCCTTGCTCATCATCCGTGGCTTTTTGGATACATCTGGCTGTTGAAGTTCTTCAATCTTGCAAGGGAGATGTCTATGCTTCATCCGATCTGGTGTTTCAAGACCTATGTTATGTTGATTCGTGGACATGAGGCTGTTGGTTGTTTGCCGGCCATTTATTCCTCAATCAGAGTTGTGTTTCATCCAATATCTTCATATGTCATCTATATCACAAATGAGGTTCTATTTTTAATTTGCGTTTTTGGTACTTGGATTAAATATTTTTTTAGTTTTATCAGACTTCTATCCATAAATAATCATATATTCTAACGTTCAAATATTTTTAGTGATCATCATGTCAAGCAAAAAGATATCTTATTTCGTTTCTTTGGCTTTAAACTCGAACCTATGTATATTAAGATATATTCTAAAATATAGATTCTAATCAAATATATATATAATTATCATTTTGTAATCCACATGCATGGATCAAGCATAAAGGGAATAACGTACCTTCCAACATTTTGTATTGTAAGAAAGAAGATACTTCTTCTCTCTATAGCATTATAACATTTTTTTGTTAAGACTTTCTTTTCATGGACTCAAGTTTCTCGAGATGAACGAACTTTAAAAAAAATAAATACACTAGAGAAAGGAAAAAGAAAAAAAATAGCAATCCAAAACTCACAGACACAAGTTGACATACAAATATACCATCCAAATTTTTCAAGAAACGAGATCAAGGAAGATTAAGCAAAAAATATATAAAAATTGAATTGAAAAATGCAAATCAAATAAAAACCAAAAAAAATTGAAGGATTTGGATAACAAGAACATCTAAACTCAAGTCCTCATTAGGAAAAAAAATAAAATAAAAGGTACATGTATTCCAAAGGAAGAATACAATAAAATGCTCATATTCAAATAGGTACTTCAACATGAATTTGTTAATTTGTTGAATAAAACCTAACAATCCTTTGATTATCACTATGCCTAATATTAAAACAATTTAATATGAATTCATTACTATGAGTTAAACTGAGTAGAGGATTCAGAATAAGCAAATTGATGCTCCTGATTTGTTGCACGTGAATTCTCATCCTCACTACCAAAACTAATAGATGAAAAATACTCCTTGATACTACTTCTTGTTGTGATCCCTACTTGTAATGCTCTTGTTGACTGCTCCCTCAATAGTGGAGCTTGATCTTGTAATTTTTACCTTTATTTATATAATAGATCGGCCGTTATGCTATTGTTCAAAATTTTAAGAGACGTCAAATACTATTAAAAGTTGAAAACTTCAAGAGTTACAAAAGTTTTGTATTAAACATGAAAATAATAAACTTTTAATGAAATTTAAGGTTGAAAATTCCAAGGAGGCTATACACATTTTGTAGTCCACTTTTAATGACATTTTTTTAGGTTGAAAATCCCAAAGGTTATCAACCATTACAAAAATAAAATGAAATTCAAGTAATTAATGTCCACTAATACTTTTTAATGAAATTGGATTTAATGTAAAGTGAAATAAAAAAAAAAAGAGTTAAAAAATACATTGGTTGGAGATTTCAAATATCAAAATAAAAATAGTACACTTTTAATAAAATTTAAAATTAATTGAATTTTTTTGTTATGAATATTTTTTTTTTCCATTGTCCACTAATACATTTTAATGAAATTAGATTTAATGTAAAGTGAAAAAAAAAAAAAAAAGTGTTAAGAAATACCTTGATTGGAGATTTCAAGTATCAAAATAAAAATAATACAGTTTTAATAAAATTTAAAAGTGATCATTGAACTTTTTTGTTATGAATATTTTTTTTTTCCATTGTCCACTAATACATTTTAATGAAATTAGATTTAATGTAAAGTGAAAAAAAGAGAGTTAAGAAATACCTTGGTTGGAGATTTCAAGTATCAAAATAAGAATAATACAGTTTTAATAAAATTTAAAAGTGATCATTGAACTTTTTTGTTATGAATATATATATTTTTTCCCATTAATATCATCTCAATCATGATTCTCATATATATATTTATATATTCTTATTTATACTATTAATAGTACATATATGTGATATATGTGTGCCTTGCATTTGTTTTAATTTTTTTTCTTGTTTTTTATTTATAATAATAAATAATATATGAATTCTGAATCACTTTTAGAATAATATTTTTTATGCCATTAATTAAAGTGCTATTAAAGTGGTTTAAATGTATATTAAAAAAAAAAATCAAAATTGTTAAGAAATTCTCTACACTTTTAGAATAGTATAGATATAGGTATAGATAGATAGATATAGATAGATCCTTCATTATTGTTTCTAAATTCAATTAATAACAATCATTATAATTTAATTTCACAAATTGAAAGTAATCTTATTGTAAAATTGCAAAACAAATGCTTAATAAACCAATGATATTACACCATTCGCAATTCCAATTCAAATAAAAAATAAAGGAAAAACTTGTACTAGGGAAGGCAACACACAGGTCCACTGAAAGACCCTTAACCCTTATGCGTGGCTTTTGACAACAATTGTGAAAAACGCATCCTTTAATCTTGTGATAAATCTCCCTTTGCGACTTGTAACCACAATTGGAACAAATGTATCCTTTAATCTTTGGGTTAATTCCATCTACACCCCCTGAATTTCGACCATATCCCATTAACACCTCCTTTAGGTTTCAATATTCCACGCACACCCCCTAACCTTTGATCATATGTTACAAGTTACCCCCTACTGTTAAACAACTAACACTGTGTGCTGACGTCAGCATAAGAAATTTGTTAAAATGTCAATTTTATCCTTCTAATGTCTAAAATGACATCTTTAACCTCGTTGACCAATACAGAATTACAAAACTACTTAATTTATTAACTCCTTCATTTCACACACGCACACACACACACACATATATATATATATATATATATATATATATATATATTCATCGTCA